ACCTATTCTTCTTCGTCCTGAAAATACCATCAGCAGAGCAAAAAAAAACAAACAAAAAAAGCAGGAAAACATCCATTTCTGGCAGTGGATTGGACCTGCTGCTTGTACGTAACGGCCTAAAGGCTGTGAGAATGTCAGGATCTGCTGCTTCAGTTGATTCATGGACACACTCCTGACACAGAAGGTTTGACCCCGTTGCAAGGCAGTGTTAATGCTGAGTGTTTCTGACCTGTTCTTGAACTGCTGGGCTGAAGGTGCCTATAGCAAATGAGCACCTTCATCATGTTGGTGCTGGGAAGGGCTGTGGCACATCAGCAGGTGCTCCTAGATGAGGAACATCTGCCTGATGGTGGGTGAGAAACCCGTGTAATTTTTCCCCTCTAGGGGAATATTGCTAGGAGATCTGCATTTAACCTTGGGGGAAAAACACACCTGTACTTTGCACACCTTTCTTTGGGCCTCATCCTTAGTCCAGAGTATTTACTATACCTGCAGTGTCCTGTTGGTCCATAAAGGCAATTCTGGAGTGGTGTTGACATCAGTCTGTCGTTGCACAACAGGAACTGGTTAAAGCTTGTTTTCAGAGGTACTGCCCTCTGCTAATTGCTGGGATGGAGGCTGTGTGCCCCATCTGTGGTTAGGGTAGGAGTTGACACTTGCAGTGTTGTCTTGCTCCTGAGTAATGCTGTATGCCTGCAGTTGAGAAGGTGGTGTGCATGGCTACTGCTAACTGGGCATAAGTTTTGTTTGCTGAAGGTGTTTTATTGGTGTTATCCCTCCTTTTTCTCTATTTTGCTAGCAAAAGTAGAGTTCTGATACTGCTTTATTAACAAAATCTTTGTATGTTCTTACTCCCCTTACCTGCTAGATGTTTTTCTGTATAGGCTGAGCGCATTTGGCTTTCCCAGTTCTCAAAATGGTGATCTGGGGATCTGGAGGGATAGCAATGCATTCAGGTGGGCTGAGATGTTTTGGGTGGGCTGAGCTACTGCACTGCTGCTGGGGAAGCACTGTTTGATGTTGGTTCCTCTGAGATCAGGCAGGTCTGTAAGCCGAGGCCTTTATGCAGAGTGCTGTGTTGAAGTCTTGCTCTCCATCTGGAGAGAAAAAGAGAGAAAGAAGCAAGGATGGAAATTGTGGATAAGGAAGTGGGGAAAAACCAAGGCCAAGCATAATTTTGACCCATGGGAGCGAAATAACAAAGATTGAGGAGCTGCTATGAAATAGTTTGCAAAGTTCTGATTTAGGTTGAACTGCTTTGGCCATGTTAAGAGTGAGGGTGGGATAGTGAGGTTAATATGCGCCTCTCCAGTCTATGTTAATATGTGGCAGTTTTTATGTCCTTAAATTACTGGAATGCAAATTTTGAGGCTGTGGGAGCACTGCACAAGTGAGCTAACTGCAAGCTTTGCTTTTAGCAATGGAGAGGAGGTTTTCTCTTAAGATAAACTGCTTGAGAATGCAGGAGCATGGAGCAAATGTGTGCTGTCCTGCAGCTGAAAGTCTCATGGAGGTGAGCGACTTATTGCAAACATGGGCTCCAGCTTGGAGAGGTGCTGGGGAAGCCTTCATGCCAACTGGAATATGGCACCCCAATCTTCCTCTTCCTTTCATTTGGACCTAAAATCCCTCAGTCCCAGTGTGGGCATGGAGCTGCTGGCAGTGGGATTGTCATGGAAGATATCCTGCTCTGATTACTTCTTACTTTCTTCTTCCATAGAGTTTTTGTCCCCACTCTATCTCCTGAAGGCTTTACTTGAATGCAGCAGCTTGAGACAGCAGGCCATACGGACCCAATTGCATAGGCAGCAGGATGAATCTAGCCTGCATCTCCCCAGCAGCATTCTGGCTGGACAAGAGGTGGTATTTGCAATGGCCAGCCTGGAACTGCGTGTCTCTGAGCTGTTTGGCAAGCTCAGGCTATTTGTGTTAGTGAGGTGGGGTTTTATTCCAGCTTAGCTTACTGGAACTGTGCAATTAGTGGCAGCCTAGGAGAAGTATAAGGGGATTGGAGCAATCCATCACCAGGCTTTTTGGACTGGTAATACTGTGTTTCTATGCCTTATCAAGCTATCGAGGTCCTTCATGATTTTTTGCCTGTGGATGCACTCCACTCGCAGTGCTGCTTTATTGAGATATTTGCCCTGCACTTGTAATTCATTGTGCCAGTTCTTGGGTTTTGTGTAGTCCTGAAATACTGCTACTTTTCTTCTTAGCTAGAAATGGTCAATTGCTTTGAGACAAGCAATTAAAATACTTGTAAAATGTCCTTTGAATTGAAGGAACTGTTGGTGCTGAGTAGCCTGAAAGGACATGGGTTGGAACATTGCTTGTAATAGTCTCAGCTTTTTGAGAAATGATTACACAAGTCCAGGAAACAAAATGTGGCTTTTTGCACTGGAAATGACTGGGTTTCAACAGAGGAAGGCAAAGAGGGGAAATAAGATGAGGAAGAAAGGGGAGAGGGGGGAAGAGTACAGATTATGTCCTACACTAATATTTCAGATGAGATGCCGACCATGGATGACCTAATGGGAATTATTAGCACATCTGTGCCCTGCATTCTGTGGATGAGGACATGACCTTAAGTATTCCTGGAGCTTCTTACTTTCCCACTTATCTTGTTTTGTTTTAATTGGACCTTAGAAATTGCAGACTGAGAAGAGTGTAAGCTTAGGGCACTCATCCTTGCCTGGTAATTTCACCCTGCTGCTGGTGGTCAGTATTCGTGGGCTGGCTGGAGCTTAAGGCAGGATCATCAGGTAACAGTCGAGGATGGGGCTGTCTGCCACCCAGTTTTTTACAAACAAATGAATTTTGTCTGAAAACAATTACTTTCTGACACTTGAAATGCCTGATAACGTGAGTAGAAGTTGATCATTGCAGTATTATACTTAAAATGCAAAGCATAAAGGTCTCTTGTTGCTCTTAATGTTTCATGTTCGCTCTCTAGCATCTGAGACCTGGTTGGGGCGTGAGATCCCACTCCTCACATGTTGGACAGCAAAGAGGAGAAGCTCTTGCTGCACGCTTTGCTCCTGGCGGGTCACAAAGTGGTGGTGACTTCATTTGCATTGCATCTACAGATGCTGTTAGTTCTTGCAACACACTGTGCGTCAGCATAATGGTTATTACCAAACAGCCTGCCCATTGAACACGAGACATTTCGAATCTGTTAGCGCACCACCAATCACCAAATGTGTTTACCTCACTTTTCAGCAGTCATTATCCCTGCTGGAAGAAAAACAGGGGAATTAGGCACCATGGCTTGAAGTCACAGAACCTCTCAAGTGTGAAAAGCTTGCTTGCAGACAAACGCTTGGGAGGGACTAGTGAGGTCATCTTGCCCAATCCTTTGCCTGCAGGTATTATCACCTAAGCTTAAAGCTTTAGCAGGTGTTGAAGCTGCTGGGAGCTTTCAGCAGAGGCATGTTGTAAAGCAGTCTCTAATCTGTTGCTGCAGACACTCGGTTGCAAAAAAGAAAAAAATACTTTTGCCAGTGTTTTTTCATGTATGCATCAGTAGTTTTGCTCGCCCTTAGTAGGCTTTCAGTGTGCATGGCAGTGTTTTTAGGTAGCTCTAACATTCAGCAACGCTTCTAATGATTTGTTTAGCACTTGTAGCATTAGGAACTTCTGGGCTTCTGTGAGAGATGACAGACAGAAGAGCAGAATACCTATATGTAGCTGAATACCTATATGTAGCTGCTTGGCTTACTCACCCCAGCTGTGATTTTGTAGGTGAAGAGCCCACTAGGGAATGAAGCTGTTGAGACTAGAAAACAAACCCCTTCAGCAGGAATCTGGAGAAAGCTTTGATTTATTAATTCAGTACTTAAGTATCTGCAAGTGTTTCTGAGTAGTAAGTCATTGCCTTTTTCCTAATGACGTGCCATTGTATGGACTTGATATTTACACACAGTCTCCTATTAGCCAATAGGCACAGTTTCTCAGTGGGTTCTCCTCTGTCCTGAAGCTTTTATTGATGCATTTACATTGTACACAGAGTGCAATTATGCTTTGACATTGCATAATAACTATTAATCCCAAGCTTGAGAACCGATCATTAGTGCCACAGAAATGCTGTATGAGTCTCAGAGGTGCCAAAAAAATTGCTGTGTGCCACCCCTTTTTACAGCTCTCCACTGGGGCAGCTGTGCTCTTATTTTAGATGGGGAAATGGGTTTCTTGCTGTTTGTTTTGTTGTTTGTGGGTGCCTGTTTTAGAGCTATGAGCATTCCTGTGTTGGAGTGATGTCTCTGTTCTGCTCTGGAAGTCGTTGCACTGGTACAGCTTTTCTGTAGAGATGTAAACCTGGAAAGGCTTAACAAGAATTCGGACTCAGCCAAATCATATCATATTATGGAATGGCCTGGGTTGAAAAAGGCCACAATGATCATCTAGTTTCAACCTTCCTGCTGTGTGCAACAGGAGTGGCCTCTTGTCGTCTTGCTTTAAATGCTGAAGTACTGCTTGGTCTTTGCTGCATTCGTATCTGTAGAGATCAGTTTCCTTTGGCAGGGAGTGAGAAACACTAGAGTGAGGAAAAACATGTTGAAAGTGCACGCTCTTCCTCATGATTTATGTAAGTGCTAAGTCTGCTCGATTCTAATGACACTCCTACCTTCAAAATCCTGGCATTTTTAATTGGGAATTGATCTAATTGCATGCTTGCTTAAAAAAGAAGACAGAGCTAGGGAACCCTAAAAGCCCAATCTTTGGAGCTGGGTTCCTCTGAGGCATGGGAACTTCGTATAATTTGAGTTAAAACCATATGCTTGGAGTCTGGACAATGAAAATGGTAGGTATGGGTACTTTAAAACCAGAAGCAAACGAGAGCAGCTTGTGATTTTCTATTATAACGAGAAGTCCTGCATTTATTTACCAAGCCTCATATTAAAATTATGATCATGGTCAAAGGTTTTTATATAGCAAAATGAATTTGATTATGATATTTCTGTAAAACTGTATATAATTTATTTTCTTTTTTAATTCAACAGGCTATCAGCTGCAAAGGTCAGCACAGTATCTCTTACACTTTATCCAGAAATCAGACGGTTGTAGTGGAGTACACACATGATAAAGATACAGACATGTTTCAGGTAAGGCTCTATGCAACTCCTTTCTTTTTAATTTCTTTGGAGCAATACGTGAAGCCATAGTTCTGCTATATATTCTTCAGGGCATCTTGTCTGTGGTGTGGAATTCTTGTGCAGTTGCCCTAATATGTTCTTCTCAGAGCACTGCCAGCATCTGCTAATATCTGTACTGCCTCTCTGCTGTCCCTGCACTTGTTTTTTTCTGCAAGGGCAGTGTGGTGATGGTACAAATATTACCAGAAAGGAATGAGTAGTCCATTTGAATTCACTAATAAGCAGAAATTATGTACCCTCCTGCCTGTGCCAGCTTCCAGTTCATTGAATAACTGCAGTAAAATGAAGTGAATGAAAGCAGAACATAGGATGAGAAAGAAGGAAAGGGACCCGTGCTGAGTTTTCTCTATGTACCTTAATGTCCAGTGTGTTTTCACTTACCCACATATGCATGTTTGTTTTTCTCCTTCATCTGATAGTGTGGTAACCTAAGCTAGCTATTGTGTGATGCTTATTTCAGTGGAAACTTCAAGCTTGGAGGAAAAACAAAGATGCACAACCTTTTCCAATGTAGACTAATTGGGTCTGTCTTGTCAGCGACCTCTGTAATTAGAGCATCTTATCATGGATTGTTATCCCTGCTCATTCAAATTCAGAAGGGTCAGCAACTGCATGCTGTTGACAGAAGAGGAAACATCTCTGTCAAGATGAAAAGGGCTTCTTACCTTGTGGGGCTTCTGTTCTTTACTCTGTGTAATGTTTTCCCAGTATTTCTTGGAAACGGTTCAGTCCAAAGAAAGAGTGGGAAGAAACAGTGTTGTCCACGTGCTCCATCATTATAAAATGATCACTTGTTGTGAACTGAACAACTTTGGTAAAAGGAAAACGTAACCCCTGCTTCTGAGTTCCTGGTTGATATTCGTGGTGCTTTGAGTAGCTGCAGTAAAGTGTTTGTACATTTCAGTAATCGTGAAAAGCCATTTAAGAAAGCTGGAGGTTTTTCTACTTCTTGTGTACAGTAACACAAAAGCACAAAAACACAAAAACACAAATAAAAGAATTCTTTGTGCTAGTAAAGAGTAGCAGAACAGCTGCTTTTTTTGTTACATTGTATAGATAACTCTTTCCTTGTATAATAATATAGTGGTAGTTGCAGCTTTTACTTTAGGGAAGGATGTCAGTAAAGAATTAGCTTGAGGGATCAGCTGTCACTAATGAAATCTAGCAGCCTGAAGTAAAGCCATGCTCTACAGACTACTGTAGAGGTGATACCTGTCTAAGGCAGTAGGGTAAGGAAGCTAATTAAAGGTACTTCAAACCTAAGCCAGGATTTCACCTTGAGAGGAACTGTCTACACTCACTTTGGTGTGGAGCAGCCTAGCTAACGTAGCAGCTTCCCCTGGCACCCGTTGGGATCCATTGATGCTCAGCAGAGCAGGAACTTGCATGGAGTAACACAGGGAGACAGCTTGAACTGACCCAGAGACCTACTGCACCAGCTGGCACTGCAGTGCACATCTCAGTGCCGTTCTGCAAGCCTGGATCAGCTCTCAGAGGCCGAGTGAAATGTCACAAAAGCTCTCATTTTTGCTTCTCTACTCATTCACCTCTGAGACGATGCCTGTGGTTCGTGCCACTGTCTGTCCTACCTTTGTAGTTACACGACTGGTTTGACCTGTTACAAGCCAACCCATCCCATCCCATCTGATTAACAGAACGTTTTGAGACGAGTGTCGTGTTTGTAGAGCATCCCAGTCCTCCTGGTGCCCCCTCAAACAGCTCATGTGTCAGGGTTACAACTTCTGTGTTGTTCAGATTTGTCTTTTCAGCTCAGCCGTGATGTGAAGGCTGTCATGCTGTGACTTGATCTCAGCTTTACCTTGAGTGTTGCATGCTGGTTCGTGTTTCCTCTGCCTGTAGCCTCCTTCAGTGTGCTGCAGATACGGGCCTGAAGGGTCTGATAAGCATGTAACAGGGAAGTAAATAGTCTGGTAGATTGTGACAGTATTTTGCTGCTTGGGGCATGCTCAGACAGCAGCTGAAGAGGCTTCAGTTAACTTGGGCAAGCCACTGGGCTTTAATTACTCTCAAGATTTAGGCTGTGGGCTGTCAGAGTAGCTACTGGAGGGCTGTTTTATGTTGCTCCATCCCACACAGTGGCAAATTCCTAGTTGTCTGTATTGATCTGCAGGATAAAACTTTACTGCTGATCAATCATTGCTCGAGTAGACAGTTCTTTGAGTTTGCTGCTTTCTTCTGAAGTTTGTTTTCCTGACTTCTGTAGAACAGTGGTAAGGATACAGAATCTGGAAAGGGAAGGATATTGCAAGGTGGAGGATTATCTTAAGACTTGGGGCCTCTCCTCAGACTCCTAATGACATGTGCTATCATAAGCAAACCATGCAATTTCTTGATACTTTCAATAGTGACATTAAAATTTCCATCTGTTCCTGTGTGTAACCTATTGGTTATCTAGTTTATAACACCATGCCCCATATGTACCCCTATTCCAGCCCCTGTTCCCCGTGCACACGCACACTGTGTTAGCCACGCAGACTACATTTGTATTTATTACTCTGTTGGGTGTTTTTTTCCTTGATGTAATTGTCTGTTGAATTTTGAGCACAAAAGCTACCGTGGAGCTTTGTATTAGTGACACCTAGACGGAGTGTATTCATTTGGTTAAAAGCATGGATGTGCTAACGTTTCATTTTCTGTTTCCCCAAAGACGAGTTGTTCCTTTCATCACCTGTGTGTTGCAAAAAAAAAAAGAAGATTTTTATGAGTTGATGCAATCTGTAGGTGATGCATCAGGTTGGAGCAGAACCTGTTCCTTCGTGGTCTGTTTGGACAAGAGTGGATCAAATTAGTATCTCTAGAAGGATCACAGTGTGCAGCCAGCAGCCTAAATAACTCCAGGTCTATATAGGAAGCGGGTATATTGCACATGAGCATTGGATTTGAACATTTGACCCTGCACATAGCAGGGGGTTGAAACTAGGTGATCATTGCGGTCCTTTTCAACCCAGGCCATTCTAGGATTCTATGACTTCTCTTGAAAACAACATAAGATGCTTCTCCCTGCTTCTCCCAGTGATCAGAGCAGAGTTCTGTTGAGTTGAAGAGTCTGCAGCGGTTGCGTTGTGTGCTGGCAGGCTGTCTGGGTTTGCCTTGTCTCAGGTGTGAGGGCTTTTGATAACACCTGTTTGACTGACAGTAGGCAGCAGCGAGTTGACTGATGGCCTGGCTCTGACAGCTTTTAACAGCAGCTTGTAGTGTAGACAACAGAAGCTGTCTGGCACATCAGTTGTAAGATTCATAGCGTGGTGTTGGAAGTCGTTGGGTGAAATGATGGCACTGGTCAGAAAGAGTCCTGAAATGCAGCCTTTCGTTGTTGCTCAAAATTTACTTTTAATCTCAGCTTTTTAAAAATGGAGGATGGTGGTATATGTGATTTCATGCTTATGTCTGGATGTATTTGGATTTCATGTTGACAGATGAGGGAGGTATGAGGAAGACAAGGCAAGAAGGCTTGCAGCTTTTACAGGAAAATAAGCCAGGATTTTCTAATTGCCTCTTAAAAGCCTTGAGTGAGCTGCTGGGGAGACTGCAACAGGCAGGAGCTTGTTAAGAACAACTTGATTTTCGTTATTGATTGCCCTTTAAGAGACTTTGCATACGGATTAGTCAGAAGTTAGGAATAAAGTTCCTGCTGCTGGTCAGTGCTGACTCTTAGCAGGAGCTGCATTGGGTGGCAAATAGGAGCCTGTTGGTGGTAATATTGTAGAAAACAGCTTTATAGTTTATTAGATTGAACCTGTCAAGTTTCATAAATCAGAATTTCCTATATTAAGTGGTTTTCTAAACTCTATCTATTGGGTATTCTGGCAATCGTGTTACTTTCACTGAAAAATTGAAGTGCATACTTTTGATGGGGCCTCTGCTAGTATTTCCTCGGTGGTTTTTCTCTGACAAGCTCACCATATTTTTTACTTTGAGCTGTGATGCAGAGGAAAGAATTGGATGTGTTCCTTGAGACACGACTTTCAGCTTGCATTCAAGAGTAACACTGCAGAGCAGAACTGCAAGTAGAACAGGGGCATGGGAAAGATCCTGCACTGTTCCTATCATTCAGTTGTGACAGGGCTTAATAAGGGTTATGTGTATCAAACATATCACTTTCAACTCTTAGATAACTTTTCTTTACTGTTTTAGGTTGATACAATGGATTTGGTTTGCAGAGACGCTAATATTCATGACGAAACAAGATGTGTGTTCCAGTAGCTGCTTTTGTAGAGCAAGAAGTTAAACAGAATGCAATTTCTTGGGCACTGAGATTGCATTTCATGAAATCATGGAATCATAGAATTGCTCAGATTGGGAAAGACCGTAAAAATCATCCAACCACAAGTTCAGTTCCTGCTGTCCTGTTTTGCACTGCTGAGGTGTTCCCAGTTTTACAGTTAAAATATGTAGGCAGCAAGATATAAAGCAAAAACAAAACCCCCTTTTCTTCAGAAAAATAAGAACACTGCTGGTCAGTGGACAAAAATATGTTTGTAACTTCCTTACGCTTATGATTTGGAATAAACTTAATGATAGGTTAGGTTTTATCTGAAAGCTTTTCTGTTCTCGAACTGCAAGTTCTGAAATGTGAAGGTGTGTGTGTGTGCTAAAACAAAAATAATCAGGTTCTGGATCTAAAAACAAGTCCTTTATTTTCATGGCAAATTAAATTGGAACAAAAATTACGAAGAAAACTTTCTTAGCTTTCTTTTTCAAGCTTTTTTCTTAATTGACAGAATATAGTGGTAGCTAGCTTGTAATTGCATTATGCAATCTCAAGGTGCTAATCCCTTTGTGCTGTTGATATGCCATCAAACAACTTGTGGGAGCTGTGATGGACAGACATAACCTGTCTTGCTGTGTCAGCAGTGCATTTGTGCCTAGGACCGATGTGAAAATGTGTGAGCCCCTAAGTGGATCTTGCCATCCAATGTGCTCCATCACACTGCAACAGGCTGCCCAAGCAGGTTGTGGATGCCCCATCCCTGCAGGCATTCAAGGCCAGGCTGGATGTGGCTCTGGGCAGCCTGGGCTGCTGGTTGGCGACCTGCACACAGCAGGGGTTGGAGCTGGATGAGCACTGTGCTCCTTTGCAACCCAGGCCATTCTACAATCCAGAAATTCAATAGACAGTAGGTTATTGATGTCATCAGTGTTAACTTGACAAAATTATGCCCTCGATGGGTGATGTTCCCATGATTCTTTCTAACTATACCATCATTTCACTACTTTTTGCAGGTTGGGAGGTCAACAGAAAGCCCCATAGACTTTGTAGTGACAGATACTATTTCTGGGAGTCAAAACAACGACGAAACTCAGATTACACAGAGCACCATCTCCCGCTTTGCGTGCAGGATTGTTTGTGACAGGAGCCCACCGTACACAGCAAGGATTTTTGCAGCTGGATTTGACTCTTCTAAAAACATATTTCTTGGTGTAAGTACTTCTACTGATTATGTTAAATGTGAGCAAACTCAATTTTTGGCCTCTTTTATTTTCAAGCCCTCAGATTCTCTTGTTATAAGTTGGCAACTTATGCTGTCATTAGAATTTTATTACTGCAGTGTAGCAGCCATGGTATTAAGAAGTAACTGTAGTTTTATGTGCCAAATTTATTACCGTGGACTCTTGGTGATAATTGTCTTTACTGATGAAGGTCTACTGCAGTAGCTGGTAGAATTTTTCTTTGGGTTTGCCTGCTATGCTCTTGGTGCTCACTGGGAGTACTGCTGTTGTGGATTTGGGTGCTGAAGACAAAGGAATTCATCTGTAAACTTCAATCTATAAACTTTCCCACAAACTTTCTTTCTGGGGCTGATTGTCACCCGCAGGAAAAAGCAGCAAAATGGAAAAATCCTGATGGCCACATGGATGGGTTAACAACCAATGGGGTGTTGGTGATGCATCCAAAAGGAGGGTTCACTGAGGAGTCTAAACCTGGAGTTTGGCGTGAGATCTCTGTCTGTGGGGATGTGTACACCCTCCGGGAAACCAGATCTGCTCAGCAAAGAGGGAAGCTGGTGAGTGGAAAGCAGCTGGTCATTAAACCAGAGCAAGGGTAGAGGGTACCAGTATCATTGAAGTATGTGTGTGCTACAGTGTGTTCTCTTTGCTGCTCTGTTTCTACTGACACAGAATTCTCTTTAGTTTTCTGCTAATGTCACTTCTTTCCAACTGAAACAGTGCCGAGTGTAGAAGCTAAACAAACTTTGCTCTTGAATGTTCACCTCTTAAATGTCCTTCTGAGACATGGGAAGATCTGGAAGTTTGTATTGCAAAAGACAGCTCCCCGTGCACTTGGAACCTTAAAAGAGTCTGCTTGTATGCAAAACGAGTTTGAATAGTGCAGCTTCTGTTTGATTTACCTGCTACAAGGAAGATAAAAGGAGCCCTGCTAAGTATATTCCTCTATTCTCCTATGGAGCAGGATAGCTTCACCTTTACCAGCAGTGGAAGGCTTCAGCTGCCAACCTGTGCCATATGTAACCAGGGTTTATGTGTTAAATTCATCATCCATCTGCCAGACTTGAAACATTGAGAACAGGGGGAAAGGATTTTCATCGCTCTCTCCTTCATGCCAAAGCTGCTTTTGTGCTGCTGCCTCGTTCTCATTAGTTTAATAGTGTTAGAGGTATCCGTGTGCTCATGCTGAACTGAATTACCCAGTTTTGCTTTGCTGAAAACTGACTCCTTCAGTGGGTTTGGGAAATGAATGCAGAATAAAATTCTGAAACTCCAGAAAACAACCTGGAGTACATAAATTGTTTTGATGTTGCAGTTGTGCCCTTTGTACGTCGTTAGCAAGGTACCTTGATAGAGCTCCTAAGGAAAGGCAGTACTAAAACAAATCCCCTTTCCTGCATGTAAAATGATTTGAATTCTCATTGAAATAAAATTACATGGCATGCTGGTATTGATGTGATCAGTATTCGTTGATTTGGTTCATAAAACCAAATGCAGCATATAATGAATTGAACACATTGCATACGAGGGCTTTTTTCTTTTCTGTTTGTGAAGGCATTATCTGAAGTGCATGAGATCAAGGATTCTCTATTTGAACCACTGAGTTTTTTTGTATTTTATTTATTTTTTCATGCTGCTAGTACTTTATGATGGTGGCTTTTTATCTGCAGTCTGTATTGTACCATTTAGGTGCTTTATCCAAGGAGGATACACAGTTAATATGAATTTAAACTAGATTAAAGTGTGAATGCCAAATTGCTTGTCATTCATGGAATTCTTAGGCTGTAGTGATGACTTTATGTGACCTACTTAATGTCCAGGGGATTTATTTTGTCTTAGTGGCATTTACTACTCATTTTCAATGTACAAACCTGGGCAGTAGGTATGCTGTCTCTCTTGATTTCATTTAATACATATTCTTCACAACTAAACTGGGGGCAATGGTCTATATACTTTTGAAATTAAAATAAATTAGAATATTTTGCTGAAGTACAATGTGTTTAGCATAATCCCTTGAAAATGTATCACGATTACCTGCTTTCATTCAGATAAGAGAAACCCTTAGGCAGTGCTTATTGGGGCTGTATTTACATGGAACACCTCACTGAAGAGAGGGCTAATTAGTTTGGGGGATGGGGGGATCATTGCTTGGAAGCTGAGGCTGGGTGGCTTTGGTTGCAGAACTTGTCTCTTGAGAGATGTGACTTGTAATTCACTCTGGTGATACCTTTGAATGTACCTGTGCGTGCAGCTGGTGCTGCATTTGTCATTTATCCGTAATGTATCTGCAGAATCACTGTTAATAAGGTATGCTGTGGGTGTTCATGCTTGTGCAAAATGCTTTGCTCCTACCACAAGCCAAAAAAATGGTATCTGGGTATCAGGACGGTCCTGGTAGTAGCTGGTTTTGGTCCATAGAGGGTCTTAGCATGAGCAACCTTCTGCCAGTCCTCATGGGCAAGGAGTTACAGGGGAGCTAGCTGCTGCCTGGCTGAGACAGCCCTGAGGGAATGGCAGGTTTCCCCTTCCATCTGTAGTGACTTATCAAAGGCATAAAAGGCATCCAGGCAGTCAGTACCAGACAAAAAATAACGTGCTCAGAGGTGAGAGTAATTATAGAATCACAGAATGGTGTGGACTGGAGGGGACCTTGAAGACCATCTAGTTCCAACCCCACCATGGGAAGGGACACCTTATGAAGAAGTTAGTGTAATGTGATAATTTCACAAAGAATTAGAGGAAGGAAAACTGCATGGTAACTGGTATTCCCGTAGCATGTAATGGTTGCAAATTTAAGATCTCATCTACAAGAACAGGATGAAAAAGAGCTATGCTTATTGTAATCTTAAATACAGAAGAGGTGAGAGATGAATTCAGACAAATGGAGGACCGTAACAAAAGAACAAGATAATTATTTAGCATGCTGGTGAAAGTAATTGTTTCTTGAGAGAGAGAGTGTATTTATAGACAGAGTTGGTTGTGTGAAAGTGGTGTCTCAGACCTGACCCCTTATCTTGGTTATCAGGCTGTGGATGCACGGTCCGTCCTTAGAAGTGTTCAAGGCCAGGTTGGATGGGGCCCTGGGCAGCCTGGGCTGCTATGAAATGTGAAGGTTGGTGGCCCTGCATGAGGTGGGGGGTTGGAGCTTCGTCATCCTTGAGGACCCTTCCAACCCAAGCCATTCTGTGATGATTCTGTGGTGATTCTGTGATCTTTGCGTTCCACCACTAGGTAGAAAACGAGACCAACGTCCTACAAGATGGCTCCCTCATTGACCTGTGTGGAGCCACCCTTCTGTGGAGAACAGCAGACGGACTGTTTCACACCCCGACCCAGAAACACATCGAAGCTCTGCGGCAGGAGATCAACGCCGCCAGGCCGCAGTGTCCCGTCGGTTTAAACACTTTGGCGTTTCCCAGTATCAACCGTAAAGATGTGGTGGAAGAGAAGCAGCCCTGGGCATACCTCAGCTGCGGTCACGTTCACGGCTATCACAACTGGGGACATCGCAGTGACACAGAAGCTAACGAGCGGGAATGTCCGATGTGCAGAACCGTTGGCCCCTACGTGCCTCTCTGGCTTGGTTGCGAAGCAGGCTTTTACGTGGATGCCGGCCCTCCGACTCATGCTTTCACCCCTTGTGGACACGTGTGCTCTGAGAAGTCTGCAAAATACTGGTCTCAGATCCCGCTGCCTCACGGTACTCACGCATTTCATGCTGCCTGCCCTTTTTGTGCGACACAACTGTCTGGGGAACACAACTGCGTCAAGCTTATTTTTCAGGGCCCAATCGACTGATGTCACTTTTGCGATGACCACGATAGCGTTTTGTTTAACAACTTACTGTGAAAATTTTGCCACTAACTCTAGATTTTACCTTTTTTTATAACGTTATTAATAGGGTGGTGGGGTGGGGATGGGGAACTGGCAAAGGAAACGGTGAGGAACTGTGGTGGAATGGGATACATTGATACCTGGAACTCGACAGATATCAGTGGGGTTGCATGCTCAAAAGCAGCATATTCACAAAGTCTTCTTGGTCAAATTGTAGTATATTTGTAATCTTTTTATTAGTACCCTGGATCAGAAAAAGATGTCTTAATGATTTTTTTAAGCTAAGATTTTTTAATGGAAAGGTTTTTCTTCTAAACTTTGACAAGCCTTTAAAACCTATTTTTCAAACCTAGAAGGAACGTACAGAATGTAACTGTCTTTAATTTGCAGTATAATTTAACTTGAATAGTTTCTCAAGGAGCTAAAGCAGAATGTGTGGACAGCCATAGGTGAATGTTCACTAGAGATAATTGGATATGTAAGAGAAAAATTAGCTGCCTAAATTGCAGAGTATAAATGTAATTAAAATATCTATTATGGTATAACACAGCTGGCCAACAAGGCATCAAGGATTACTTGAAACTGAGGAAATCCTGTTTGCATTGATTTCTTTTCAGTGTAATAGATGTCCACTGCTCGTTATGTGTAGTGTGTGGCTGGGTTTTGTTTTGTTATTCCTTCCCTGTTTACCTTGCATATGGTGAAACCTCTTTACTTTTCTACATACATCTGGTTTTAAGCCAGCCTTCTGTATACGTGTAGTCTGATCTTTGTGTTTCTGCTTAGCTTAGCTTGCCCTACCTGCGCCTTGCATGCCCAGAACCGTTGGGTTGAGATGTAGCAAGCCTTGAAAAACTAAATCCAAGAAAGGGATGTAGTGCTACAGCAAAACAGCAGATTCAGGTGCAATTGACACACAACTTATTTACATAGACCTGAATTCAGGGAAGCACTTAATTAACATACAAGTATAATCCCACAGATGGGATTCAAGGATCTGAGTGCTTCAATGGGTCGTGGCTATGCACTGTTACTCTTTGAAGTAATAAAAAAAAGCAAAGGTTAAAAATAATTTATTTGAGTTCACTTAGTAGCCAAAATGCTGTGAGGAGAGCATCCTTTCTGGTTCAGCTGAGTATTTCTGTTCAATTTTCAACTAGCTGCCATCTGTCACCTCTTTATGCAGATTGAGATGTGTTTGTATCTTCCTTTCTTAAATGTTTGCAAATCAAACAACATTCAGATGTAATCAGATCCACGTATCGGGGTGGTACATCTGAAGTGGATCACTTGGAATTCCTGACTCTTTAAGGGAGCTGATAAATATTTACTGTGGAGATAATTAAATCAGAATTTCATATGAGATGTAGCCTGCCCACTGTTAGTGTCATTTCATGCAGAGTGAGAACTCTGATTTGGTTTCTGCCTTTTGCTTTCTGTGCTCTTGGTATCTGAGGTATCAATCTATCCAGTCTATAAAGTAAAACAAAATGGGAGAAAATTACAGCATCTCCAGACTCGAACTCAGTTCTGTTTGATCAACTGTAGCTTTTTGCTATATTTGCGCCCTTTGTATAAATAGATAATTTATATGATTTTAATATATTCTGTATATATACTTGAATTGGCCTGTTCATATTTTGGTTGTAAAATTATTTTATAGTTAACCTTATAAACATTTAACGTGTCCCTTGCTGGTGGTGCTGGGACATGCTTTGTCTGCTGCTGGTTTTAGTGTAATTTTGCTGTATAAATGTTCAGCATTTTAATAATTTGAAAATAGCTTTACTTTTTACTGCTTTTTGCTGTTTGTTTTTGGTTTTTTCAGTTTTGTTCTGTAGCATTTTCTCTAAGAAAAATCAAACTGTACAGTTTTGTCCCGCTCAGTGATTGGAAATAGGATGCATCTTGTTAACAGAAAACAATATGCTTCTTCCTAGTGCCTTCTCAATGAGATCCTCTTGTGATTCCGTGTGCTGAGTCCTTACTCCCACAAGACAACCTTGTGGCTTCATCAAGAATGGCGATCCAACCAGATGGGGAAGAAACGCCTTTGGCCTTCAGTTCCTCCTGGTTTCTGTTGTAAATGTGAAGGTGCCTCTTCCCTGTTTATATTCAGTACGAGTTCCTCAGGTTCCACATGCATAGTGCAGCATTATTTCTGTTTAGCATATACCTCATCTGTGAGAGGCAGTCTCACCTCCACCTCGTTCCTATTGGACTCGGGAGTGCTTAACTTTGTTTCTCACAAGAGATGCAATGAAAACACACTTTCAGGAAATGCTGACTGTTGAATTCTGGCCGTGAGCTGTGTGTTTATGCTGGGGGGGGGCAGAAGTCTTGGGTTCCATGTGCAACATCTTCACCAGCCTGGGCTGGCAGCTGCCTTTTCCTGAGCTTTAGCTCATTGGGACACGCGTGTCTCCTTTTGAGCCTAAATGGATGTAAAGCACAGGTTCCAAGGCACCTCCATTATTGTGCTTCACTTGCCTCCTTTTCTGCTGCAGATGAATTGTTGCTTCGGGGCTTACATGTAGCTGTGCCCTGTGCAAAGTGCATGCACAGAGCTAGAGGAGCGCGTGTTGGAAGTGCCAGCACTCCATCTGGTCGCTGTGTTTGGTGTGCAGTGAAAGACAGGTGAATGGTTTGTGTCTGAGGGAAGCGTCCTTTCAAAAGGCTGTGTTTTAAGCAGAATTCCTTTGCTTTCACTGTCAGCAGTTCTGTATGATGAAAATACTGCAGGAGGGAAAACTTCTGTCTGGGAAGCAAGCTTCAGCAGCCCCCACGTATAAATCCAGGTACTTTGCCATGAACAGTACTCAAATCTAGGGTGCATCCTACAAGGCTGGGTTTTCTGGGAAGGCAGAGGAGTTGGTAGCATTGTTTTCCTCAACCACCATTGCCACGTGTGCTGCTCTGATTAACCGAGGGGCTGCTCAATTGCTTATCCATTTCTCTTTCTCTCATCTCAATAACCACACGGCTTCTCATTCTGCTAACTCAACTGGAAGCAGTAGATTCTAGACAAGCAAGACTGATCCTGTTTGGAGAGACTGAACTTGAGAACCACACTCATACTTTGTTTTGAAAGCTCATTTCATGATCTCAGCGTTGAGTTTCTTACATACCATTTCAAGCACTGGCAGCATATTCTGTAAAGTTTTTTTTTTTAACCTGTTAACTCAATTTGAATGCTTCAGAAACAGCTTTGACTGCATAACTTAAAGTTAAAAGTATTTTTTTTCTAGTCTGATCTTTAAAGCAGGAAAAAGTCTGTCATACCCATGCATGCTGGAGCTGTAACACTTCTCTTTTTCCTGGCAGCTTCTTGGTAGAATGCTGAAGTCTCAATAGGCAGCTCAGTAGTGAGTGTTGTTCTTTTTTGAACCGTGGTCCAACTTGTACAAAAGAGTTAGCATGATACTGCATTTTAATCAAGATATTTTTTTTTCAAGTGTGGTCACTTTGTGCCTCTGGTACAGTAGCAGTACTGTGCTGGCATAGCAATTAAAGGAGGATTGTGTTTCTTGGGGAGGATGGGAATGGGACTGAAAGGAGACGAAAGCCGCTGTCGGACTGCTTCCATGAACTGCTGTGCCAGGAGCTGTGACCATAACCGTTCTGCTTGCAGCCCCGGTTCATGCTGCAAAAAGCACTCACTTTTGTTAGGAGGCCCCATAATAGATTGGGAAGGCTGTGGTCATCCCAGGAAAATACTGGTTGTGAACATGGCAGCGCCTGGAATTGAAGGATTCTGCTTCAGAGCCCGAGCAGGGAGGTGTGGAGATGCTGGGCTGGGGCTGCCCTGAACAGCTGGGAGTCGCATTGAGAATGCAACACACTGACCAGGATTTACTGGAACGCCATGTACCTCGTGAAATAAGCTCTTGGTTGGGGCTGTGGGAGCTCTCCCTTTGCTGCTCACTCGTTTTTCTGCTGTTTTGTTTCTGGAAGCCGTCACGTTTCTGTGCATCTAGTTCATTTCTCTGGGCTGAGAGATCCGTTGGTAGCGATCTGGCCATCGTTACCACTGATGGTCATTGGAAAGCATTTGTAATGTGCTAGGAAAACTGACTCCAGTTTGAAAGGAGCTGTGCTTGTCCATTTCTGTCAAGGATCGTATTGGAGAGAGTGGTCAGTCTCGTTTTACCCACAGTTATTGCTGACTTTCTGCACTGGATGTGGATGAGTGGCTCCCACGTTATGGACATGTAGAGCTGTTGACCCAACGAGGTGGGAGGCAGAAATCTGTTGGGCGTTGGGGCTGAGTAGATGTGGGCAGCCCAACTTCTGGAGTATTCTGACCGAGGATCCTTCCTTCCTACTCATTTACTCAGTTTTCAGCCTCTTGTGAGTTCTTGGTTTCTTTCTTTCTCTACTTACCTGCCTCGTTGCAGGTACACCAGTAAATGTGGCTTGAAAAGAAGGCAGGGAAAAGAAATAGATGCCTTCAGGCTTGCTTCTTTTTAAGGAAAACGAGTTACAAATGTCTTTGATTTTTTTCCTCAATGTTTGTATTTCATGAGCACTCTTCACAACCTGCACACTCAGTATTGGTGAATTAAAGGGATGAGCTTAGAAGATCATGAGCTTTTTGGGGGGTGTGGGGGTAGTTGCTGGGCTGAGAAGTTGCAGCGTGCAAACCGGGTCCCACTGACTGCAGCAGGGCACCTTGGGGTTGAAATCCCTTCTGTTTCCATCTCAGTGCTTAGGGATGGGTGTCAAGGGATCAAACGCGTGGTGAAGAGCCCCTGTTGCTGCCATACAGCCATAGGAACAGCCTCAGCCACGCAGTGTGATGGAGAAGCGTTCACCTTCCAGCAGCATTAGCAGCTCGTAGACTTCTGGGTGTGTTTGTAAAGCTGCTCTTTTCTACACTGTGTGAAATGAACTGAAATGATTTCTTTGTTGTTGTACCCGTGGAAGTACAAGCCATTTTTGGGGGGAGGGAGGGAGGGGGTGGCAGAAACCTTCAAGAAAAAAGAAGAGATTAAAATGTTATCTCAGTATTCTCATCGACTCCTCCAATGTTGTTTTTTTTCCCCTCCTGCTGATTGGTTGTCAGGGCTTGACAAGGGTTTGCAAAACGGTATGAAGAACTTAAAAAGAAAACATTAAGAATGCCACCACTTCTCCTGCTCTCTTGTCCCCTTCCCTCTGTTCCTCAGCAAGCAAAACCCCACATCTCTGAGGATCCTTAAGCATTGGAGGTGCAGAGTGGATTCAGGTGTGAGTGCCCTGAAATTCCAGTTGATTGACACCCCTGGTTTTTAAATGGAGCTGTTTGTTTTCAATGCCAGCTGCCTTCTCGCGGTGTTAACATAATTGCAAAATAAAAGCAATTTCCAGGAATAATATGCTTTGTGACTCCTGAGGTTAATTTTCATAATGGTAATTCTGCATTTCATTTACGTCTGTGTGTTTGTGCCCTTTCTGTACGCAGTTGCTGTGAATTTGCAAGCTTCGTTCCTTTAAAATGAACTGAAATGAATGGTCTGCTTCTCTTTTTTTTTTTCCTCAGTAAGAAGGAAAGAACACTGACATGAGCATAATAAAGGAGAATCAGGATTTCAGCAGCTTTCTCTACATGTGACCTGCCAGCTGGCTAGCAGGCTTCCTTCTAAATAGCAGCCTTACGTGCTTCCCTGGGAAGATGCTCTTAGGTGAACGGGAGAGGAAAAGCTTTGGGATATCGATGTGCACTTTGTGAGAGGTTTGCAGAGCACCTCTGATGTCTTCCCTTTCTTTCCCTTTCAAGGTATCGCCGCACGGATGCATATTTTTAGGAGGAACTTAAGAAATCTCTTTCATGTAAAAACAAGGCAGACAGAAGTTTGACAGAGGTGTCGGAGTTGTGTGAGCCTGATTCTTCTTTATTCTTCTAAAATTTTAACTCTGAGATTTCATGGCTGAATACGGGCCTGGGATGAGGGAATACTGAGCAGCAGAAAGGAGCTCTGTGGCTGTGAGCTCTGGGAACCTGCTGCTCTGCTCTCTGATGCACGTTGTCCTGTCTCATTGGGAAAACAGATGCTTGACCTCCACTGCAACTGCATGAGAATCCGTATTTTTTTTCTTGTTTCCTTTTGTTGTTTGCTTTTGTTTGGACAGAATTTGCAGCTTTGATAGAAAACTGGAGGTGTTCAAGGCCAGGTTGGATGGGACCCTGGGCAGCCTGGGCTGCTATGAAATGTGGAGGTTGGTGGCCCTGCCTGTGTTGGGGGTTTGGAGCTTCGTGATCCTTGAGGTCCCTTCCAACCTGGGCCATTCTCAAGTTGTTTTTTTTTTTTCTTCAAGTGATTCATAGAATCACCACGTCACCAAGGTTGGAAAAAGACCTCCAGCATCATCCAGTCCAACCATCCACCCACCACCAATCTTTCCTCACTAAACCACGTCCCTCAGTACAACATCTGAATGCTTCTTGAATGACTTCCAAGGATGCTGACCCTACCACTCCCTGGCAGCCCATTCCACTGCCTGACCCCACTTTCAGGGCAGGATTTTTTTCCTATTATCCAACCTGTACTTCTGGTGCAGCTTCATCGGGGCCAGGGGGCTGGGAGGAGATATCAGACATTGTCTGCAGGGCTGAAGGACTCTTGGTGTATTTCATATGTGAGACCTGCACTTAATTAACACAGAGCCTGCTCAAAATGAGGGCCTAGCCCTGGATCTCAGCAAGCATTAATCTGTTCCTTTGCATTAATGCTCGTCAAAGAGCTGTGGTGTGCTTCCATGGGTCTGGCTTCTTTTAAGGGACATCTCTGGAAACAAAGCTTGGCCTTCTGGTTTATAACAACCAAAAAAACCACCACAACCAAGTATCTTGGATTGGAAGTAAGAAAATCACGTAACAATGTGCAGAGAAGCTGGTGGGTACTGTAACCAGAAGTTGGCTCGTGGGTTTGCCTTTGGTCCCCACTCAATTTTTGCTGCCTTCTTCCTCTTGCCTGCCTATTGCTGTAGGGCTGTGCATGCTGAGCTGCCTCCTGCTTTCCTGTGGTAAAAACCCGACTCACGTGCTCTGCATCTTTCTGGTGAGATGCTGGTTTCCCCAAAACCAACCTCTGTGCTGTGTTGAAGGCTGTATGGAAACACAAGGCTGTGGCTGAGTGGTGGGGGATGCTGCTGGTGGTGGGAATGGGAATGATGGATAGATGGTGGCTGAGTGTGGAGGACCTGTGAAGGTGGCTAATGGGGCGACAGGTCCTAAAGATGCCTGCCCTGTTCTTTGATCAAGTCTGGATCTGCTTTTCAATCATCATCTCTCATTAGCAGCTGTGAAACTTCCTGTTCATGGAACAGCAGACTGGTTGGGGTTGGAAGAGACCTTAAAGCCAGTCTGGTTTCAACCCCTTGTGAGGTCAGGGACACCTCCTGCCAGCTCAGACTGCCCTCAGCAGAGGTTTGGGGATGGATTTTCACCCTGTTGTCTCATTAAGAAGGAGAGCATATTTGTTTAATGCTTATTTCCTCCAAAACCACCCTGTGGAAACCAGTTGCTTTTGCATTTCTGTTTTCTTTGTCAGCTGAATTCAGGTGACTTTCTGCCCGGATCAGATGGGAACGGCTCTTTGCAGGGTCCTGCAGCCACACCGAAAAAGCCTTCCCATGTCCATTGATCCCTGCTCATTGCAGAGGAGTGGCAGCAGATGGCCATTAAGGGTCCCATCCAACTCCACCCGTTTCATGGTTCTGTGATGAAGAACCAAAGGATGGAGCAGCTGAGCGAGGTCCTGGGGTGCTGCGAGGGGCCGTGCGAGCAAGGAAATACTTTGCAGTAGTAAATAAAGCAATTATCTGTTTTTCCAGATGCACTTCAGGCTAGGGGGGCCGAGAGGAAATTCCTAACTGACTGACTGCCTGTGGGATAATGCTGTTTCCATAGGCCTCCCTGCCAAGAATCACTTAATTATGAGTAATTAAAAAAATAATAAAAAAAAAAAAAACGGGACAGGGGGGGGGGTTGATTTGGCTTGAAAATGCTGAGGGAGTTAGAGAGTGGAAAATGGGATAATGGAGTAAACAGAAGTGAAGGCAGTGATGTCCCCGGTGTGTGGGGCCACGTGAGCACCATGTGCTGCAGTTATGGGGTGCAGACATGGGCTGCATCCCTGTTTTCTTCCCCCTGGCAGCAAACTCTCTGTGTTGTGCAGGGATTTGGGGTCGGGCTGAGGGCGCTGGCTCTGCAGTGCGTGGAAATATGCAGCGTTCCCATAAAGGCCCACTGGGATGGGGTGTGCTCCTCTGGTGAGGTGCAAAACCTGAGCCCTGGGGCTCTGCACTCAATGTTTGCTGGGATTCCTTCAAGATTCCTTTAATTTTCCCCTTTGCTTCCAGCGATTTTGGTGTGGGCTTTCTGAAACTCAACCCTGAAAGCTGCAAAGTGATGTTAAGACGGAATGTTGTCACTGGGGTTGAGCAAAGCTTTAAGTTTCACAATCTGGTGGGAGAATTGGGGGGGGTCCAGTTTAGAGATTTCTGCCCTGTGGATAAAACAGCTGACAGAAAAAGCGAGTGTGGTTTGGGAAGTCTGAAAGCAGCTTTTGCATAGAACCATGGCATCACTATAGAATCACTCTGGTTGGAAAAGACCTCCATGATCCCCAACCCCAGCCCACCCCCACCATGCCCACTGCCCACATCCCTCAGTGCCACATCTGCATGGTTCTGAAGCACCTCCAGGGACGGTGACTCCACCATTCCCCGGGCAGCTGCATCCCACTGCATCACTGCTCTTTCAGGGAAGAAATGTTTCCCAGTACCCAACCATTATCCCTTTAGGACAGCTGGGGATAACGGTTTAACGGTGCTCCCTTGCTGTAAAAATCATTTTAAGCCTTTTGCAGGAACAAAAGCCTGGAGGTTTTGACAACACACTCCTTATGGGGAAAAAAAAGAAGTCCCAACGAGTGTCTGGAGCAGCCCTTGCTGTGATCTTTTGCTGCCTGGGAGAGAGCCATCGGCACGGATGTGGGCTGAATAACAAGGAGCCCGGCGGCTGCACAGGAGATGGCAGTATGTTTTTGTAAGGTGATAAAAGCCTGCTTTGTTGGGGTGTGCTGGAGCTGGGAGCTCCCATGGGGTCCCCTATCGATGCCAGGTGTTGTGGGTCTTGGTTTCATGCCCACAGGGCACAGTTTTCCTTCTGGCTCCAAGTGCTTGGATGCCGCAGGGTTTGGGCACTGCGGCGTTTCGCATCGTCCCGCTCCCTAAATCATAGGGGGAGGTTTCACAGGCGGCTCTGACAGCACTGAGCAGCCCTACAGCAGAGGGATGCAGGGATTTATGGTACTGCTACCATACAGCGAGGCTGCAGGTGGGAGGGATGTTCAGGTTTATCAGAAGGGAAGCACAAATAGAAGGCAGGATGGAGGCTGTGGGGCTGGCATGTAGGCATGGAACTGCAGCAGAATGTGGTTGGGTCTCTTTGTCTCCTTGGGGATCGCATCACAGAGATGCCTGATATTCTGTTGGGGTTTTGGTTTTGGCACCCCAACAGCTGTATCTCAGCCCCAAACGAAGGCATGCTACTCTTTATGATGGGATAGGAGTGAGGGCATCTCCTTGTCCCCACAGGCAGTTCTGTGGCATTGGCTGTGCTTTAGTTGCTATGGTCCATTGTCTTGAACCAAAGGAACTGCAGAATCACAGAATGGCCAGTGTTGGAAGGGACCCCAAGGATCACGAAGCTCCAACCCCTGCCACAGGCAGGGCCACCAACCTCCACATTTCACAGCAGCCCAGGCTGCCCAGGGCCCCATCCAACCTGGCCTTGGAACACCTCCAGGGATGGACGGGGCACCACAGCCTCTCTGGGCAGCTGTTCCAGCACCTCACTGCTCTCTCTGTAAACAACTTAAAGAGTTTCTTTCCCACCTACTTTTCATCTTTCATCTCTGCTGCTCTTGATAGCCAGTTCTCT